TTTGAAGATAAATGATAAAGATGAACAGGTATCATGGTTTGTTACATTCACTTTTATTCTCTTGGACTCTGTCTCTCTTCCTTGGACCCAAGATATTGAGGACCGGGAGGAGTCCAGAAAGAGGGACCTTCAGTTATTCTTTGTGTTGTGTCTGTTGAATGAGCAAAAGTTGTATAATTAAGAGTCTCCCAGGTGCCCCCTGCCTGCTAATAGGTGTATGATCTTGTTACTAAGCATTCAATACGTATTATCTATCATGATGACCATTATTACTTCTAAAATGGAAACCTCCTTGAAGGTGCAGTTTGTGTCTTTGCAATCACCTCCCTCTCTAAGGAGTCTATAGGAGACCTGCTCTCAGAGAAGTGTGCTTTTCCTTCAATGAAGTATTATCCCTTTGGTAAATTGTAGCCTGGAACCAGCAGTTATTTCTTCCTATAAAGTGGCGACTCAGAACCCAGAGGCAATACAGTCTAGTAGTTACTGTTAGGTATACAGGGGCCAGACTAACTCGGATAAAATCCAGTTTCTGTCTGGGTGACCTTGGGTAAATTACTTAACCTCTCTGGGCCCCAGTTTTCCTATTTACAAAATGGAGATAATAAAGAGAAACATAAAAGTGGTCACACTTTTACAAATTAGCCTTATGGTGATTTTCATTGCATCTGTAGGTAACATTTACTTGATCAATATTATTACATATTACATCAAGATGTGTAGCTTTCAAAAAGAATTATAAAAAGAGAAAATATAGGGACAACAATTTCTAAACTATCTTTTTAATTTATTACCAGTAACAACTATCTACGTACATAAAATGTGTTTTTATAGAGAAGTGTTTGTAAAGATCAGCCTGAAACTTCTATTTATTATTTATGAAAACAACACAAAGTTGATATGCAAATCTAATAGATGTTTTAAATCACAACATAAAAGAATTTAGGATATCAATTCATAAAATAACTTTTTATGTTTGTTGCAGTAAAACACAGTTAAATTTAAACCAATATTTTAAAACACATTCAATCACTTATTCACAAGTTATGTAATGTGTCACTTTGCTACACTACATTTTTGGACAGTAAATATTTCGGAATACTGCCCTTTTTCCCTTCACCTCTTCCAACTACTGAACTACAGCCAGTCTTTCTCTTATTAGGCCGAAGGCTGAAGTCTCTCAGGCACATCTCCCCAGATACACTTGTTGTTTTAATAAATTTCTTTTGAAGATAGCTATTTTCACTTAAGAATATGTAATGATCATTTTTCTACATTCTTAAGTATTTTTCTGAAGCATGATTTTGAATGATTTTATAAAGAACATAAATTGTTGAACAAATCTCCTATTCTGAGATATTTAGATTTAAAATTTTTCCATGTTTTAATTATTCTATGAAACTGGCAGCCATTTTTAACATCAGTAAATAATCCTGGAGAAAATTACTTTGCAAAATGAAAATACAGGGTTTGAGGGGAGAGAAGGTTTTCTAGAAGGAGGGATGAAGGATGAGGTAGCAGAGTAGTGGCCTTGGAAAGAGTTGGGCCCTTTACCTATCACTTTCATTCATCTGACAGGTGGGAATTTAGTCACATGATATGTTTTGTTTCCTTTATAGGCCTTCCTTCAACCCCAGACTTATGGAAATAGCTACTGGATTGGATTATCATACAATGCAGAGGAAAGGAAGTGGAAATGGATTGAAGATGACACATCTTCTGGAATGTAAGTCTCTGGAATGCATTCAAACTCTAATATTGGTGTTGGGGCTGGAAGGATTGTATCTAAAAGGAATCTTCTCTTATTATGCACAGCTTAACTCATTTTCAAGTAGCCATCATTGGTAAGAATAAATAGAATGATTAAGAAAGTGTTTTAGGAAGCATACTTAAAAAGTAAGAGATGCATCCTACAGAGTTATTAATAATAATAAAATTATGATACTAAACACATGCTCGGAAGTATATGTTATGAGGTACACAAAATAAAACAATATCATAAAGTAAAGTGATATGAAATGATCAGACCATCCTGACTCAGCCAAAGTGATCCCTCCCACAACCTCAAATGAATATTTTGAGTATCCTCAGAATTCATTTGAAACTCCTTTACATTATTGGTTTATATTATTTATAAATATAAATATATGTGAGTATACACACACACATACA